CAACAACCAAAAAAACTCTGTCCTTGTCATTGGTCTTCGCCATTTTAACTATAATGTGTCTTGGTGTTGTCCTCCTTGGGTCCCTTCTTTTGGGAGGTCTGTGTACTTCCATGGTCTGAATGATTATTTCCTCCCTCAGTTTGTGGAAGTTTTCAGCAATTATTTCTTCAAATACACTTTCTATCCCTTTTTCTCTCTCTTCTTCTTCTGGTACCCCTATAATGCAAATATTGTTCCATTTGGATTGGTCACACAGTTCTCTTAATATTGATTCTTTCCTGGAGATCATTTTATCTCTCTCTGCATCAGCTTCTATGCGCTCCTGTTCTCTGGTTTCTATTCCATCAATGGCCTCTTGCATCTTATCCATTCTGCTTATAAATCCTTCCAGAGATTGTTTCATTTCAGTAATCTTCTTCCGGATGTCATCCCTTAGCTCTTGCATATTTCTCTGCAGCTCCATTAGCATGGTTATGACCTTTATTTTGAATTCTTTTTCAGGGAGATTGGTTAGGTCTATCTCCCTTGATTCCTTCTCAGGGGAGTATGTCTGGGTTAGTCTGGTCTGTATCAAATTCCTCTGCCTTTTCATGGTGATAGAGGTAGTTGCAGGAAGCTGGTGCATGTGTCAAGTGGGAGAACGTCCCTTCTTGCTGGGTTGTGGCCTTCCTCTCTTGGGAGAACAGTGACCCCTATCAGCTTGTACTGGGAAGCTGTGTGCAGATGGGGTTTCTAATTCTTGCCCGGCTGCTGTGAAAGAATCTCTGCCCTGCTGCCTCAGGCTGCTGCTCCACTATGGCAGAGTGGTGTCGGAGGGGACACGAGCGGGAGGCTGTTTATCTCTGTGAGGGGCCTCCGAGCTGCACAGCTGCCCGGGGGGTTAGGGCGCCCAGATTTCCCTGGGATTCCCAGCTGCTGGGCTATGTGTCCCAGGACGTTTCCATCCAGCTGTGGGGTCCCTGTCCCTTTAAGTCTTTCAAAAAGCATTTGCTCTGCTTTGTCCCAGGGGTGACAGCTGCGGGACCCACTCGCAGGTTTTACTGTTCCATTTCCCTAGTATCCAGCACATGCTGCACTGTGTGTCTGTGCTCGGGTGCAGATGGCTAGGGCTGGGTGTTTAGCAGTCCCGGGCTCCCTCTCCCTCGTGGCTCCAACTCCTCTCCTCTCACCGGGAGCTGGAATGAGGGGCACTTGGGTCCGCCGGGCCATGGCTTGTATCTTACCCCCTTCGCAAGGTGTTGGGTTCTCGCACATGTCAATGTAGCCTGGCTTTTGTCTATATCTTTTGGTCTCTCTTTTAGGGACAGTTGCATTTGTTGAATTTTCAAAAATATATATGGTTTTGGGAGGAGATTTCCGCTGTTCTACTTATGTTGCCATATTGGCTCCACCCCCATCATCTGTCATTTTTAAATGGTAGTCTTTACTTTTAAATGGTAATTTTAATGTAATTTTTAACTCTATGTCCTTCTGCAGTCTCATCAAAATCATTTTTTCAAGAATGCCACAGTTGTCCAAGGCATCAAATACAAACAAATAACTTTACTGCACAAACATTATAAACATAGAACTGTTTTTTGATCAGCCTTCTTGATTTCAATAGCTTTATGAGTCATGTAATGGTATACCTCCATTTTCCTACCAGTAACGGAATAATGCACTTTGTAAACTTTTGAGAACCTTGAATAATAAGTGGTTTGCTATACTACTATTATTTGTTAAATAATACGTATAGAATTATACTCTGAATTTGTGTTAAGTTAATGAGTTAAATATATGAGTGAGGCTCTAATTATTTATAAATCCCAACCTTTACTGGGAAGTGGGGATAATTCCTAAGAAACTTTAACTTTAGCAACTGCTAACACATCCTGTGTTCCAAGCACTGTTCTGAGCCCTTTCAGTGTAACTTATTTAATCTTCGTAACAACTTCGTAAGAGAAGTTTCAGTACTCACTCCTTCCTACAGAGGAGAAAATGGAGGCCCAGGGTGTTCCCTTGCAAGTGCTGGAACCAGGGCTGGAGCCCAGCCGTCTAGACTCCTGAGCGACTCCCTTGGCCACCGTCCTGCCCTGTGGAACACTTCCCACGACAGGATCCTCCCTGCCTTCAGAATTCACCATTCCACCATTAGACGTGTGCAATTACATGCTACTCTCTGACTGAAGTATTTAAGAATGAAATTATATCGTGTCTAGGATTTGCTTTAAAATACTCCACCAGGGGCAGAGATGAAACAGATTATTTCATCAGAAATTACTGAAGCTTAATGATATGTACATGGGATCTATTCTGCTGTTCTCCACTTTTGTGTACGTTTGAAATTTTTCGTAATAGTGTGATTTTTTAAAATTACTCTCTATGTTAAACTTAAAAGGTCTATAGTGTTCTAGGAGGTCATTTCTTTAATTTTAGTCTTTCTTGTGTTTAATGTTAATTTTTGGTATGTTCTCAGTGATACTCAGATCTTTAACTGGAATTTCTTGCACCATTAATTTTTGTATAAATTATTGCTACTCAATAGTGTTTTTAGTATTATAACAATGAGGAAAACATTCATTTTCAGAATCCCATAAAGTTCTATACTTTACAACATGTATATACTAGCTTTTGAGAGGGCTCAATTTTGTCCAAAGTTGTTTAACATCATTATACCTAAACACACATTTAGTATAACCTGATTTTGTTTTTACAGGAACCAAGGAATAAAAGAGTTTCACCTTTAACTCAACGTATATCCTTGGCAAATTTAATCTCTCCAGTGAGAAATGGAGCAGCCAGATGCTTTGGTCATACAGTACAGGTAAGGGGAAATGGGGCTGGGGGTGAGTAATGAAGTGAGGAGGCTTTTTTCTAAAAGCTTAAAATTGGTATTTTTTCCTTGAGGTGTACTAACAGGTTTGCACACTTACTAACCATAAATTTCCCTTTGGAATATGCTGGTAATAAATACAAGAACAATATTTATCTACTCTCACTATATTAATTTACATCATCTCTCAAAGCATGATCTTGGATAGGTTGCATATCTCAAAGTAGTTTTGGCTGATAATATTTTACAATGATAGATTGAAGCTTGGATAAATGCCTGGAGAAATTCTCTGAATTTTGTTTTCTAATTTGTCTATTTTTTTTTAAGAAAAAGAGGAATAATTACCATGTCCTCCAAAGCTTTTCTCTTTTGTTCACCTCTTTTATTCTTCTGTTAAGCCATTTACTCATCATGGTGAGAGCAGATTCCCAGCTTCTGCCCAAAAGTCATCATGCAGCTCGAGAGTCCCAATGCCTGCCAAAAGGAGAAGTAGCGTCCTGTGGTCAGAGACGTTAGGCGTCAACATTAGAGAGTCTTTAACTGCCAAAGAAATCAAACGTCAGGAGGTAAGCTGGCATTCAGTAGTGAGACCATATACATTGGTTTATACTAAAAAAAATAGTACCTGTTTTTTAAATAGGTGTTTTGCCAGAAGATTAGCAAACTAATGCCTAAGGCAAAATCAACTTGCAATTTTGTATTTGACAGTAATTCTTAATACATGCTAAGCAACACTTTGTGATTGGTGGGGGTCATCGGATTGAACTCTTGATGGGGTAAAGTTATAATACATAGGGCACGATGTAAAACATTGAGACTCCATTCTGAATTTTAGTTTTCAGACTGAGACACTTTAAAAAGGACTGTTTGAAACATCAGTTAAATAATGGTGAATATCAATTGTAGATAATTTTCCTTTCTCAGAGGAAAGGATGGTGACTTATGATGTCTGCTTCTTTTTTTTTAGGCAATATATGAAATGTCCCGAGGTGAACAGGACTTAATTGAAGATCTCAAACTTGCAAGAAAGGTCAGTGTATAACTTTTTATCATACACTCTGGTTTTTAGAAATTATATTTAACAAATTCTAACATAGTTTTCTTTTTAGAAGCAGAAAATATCTACTAGTGAATACTTTTTTTTTACATGAGCTTTATTAGACACATCTTCAAATATGAATGTGAGAGTCTTTTAGGGTGATTAGCAAACATATACTTTAATTTCTTCTATTTTTTACAGTAGAATCCACAGTAGCTTTTGTACAGTTACTCAAACTTGCATTCAAGTACAGATCTCTCATAATGTCTTCTTTGCTTGATCTCTCTTAATGACGCATTTCTCCCCCTCTGGTAGGCCTACCATGACCCCATGTTAAAGTTGTCTATCATATCAGAAGAGGAACTCACACATATATTTGGTGACGTGGATGCTTACATACCTTTGCATGAAGGTGAGATATGCTACTTAATTTTCTTTAGAATCTTGAACAGCAGGAATAAAAGGAAGTTTAAATCTAAACTTCTAATTTAGTGCTGCATTATTTCTAAAATAAACCTCTTCTTGGTATTTCTGCTTTCTTATGCTTCAGATTTGTTGGCAAGAATAGGAGAAGCAACCAAGCCTGATGGGATAGTGGAGCAGATTGGTCACATTCTTGTGAACTGGGTATGTAGTATTTTACTCCAGATAGTTTTTCACAAGTACATGCCACACTTGTCATTGTAATGAATATCAGAACCACTTGATCCAGGAACTGGATTATAAAAACAGATAAACAACACATTAAAATTGAACAAATTTTTGTAGCTATGAGAACTTACAGTCTCTGTTTAAAAACCTACTTGATGAATGATACAGTTTTCTTTTAGAAATATGTTCCTCCTTGCACAGAGTTTTCACATTATATGCCGTTAATTTTCTGTTTCATTCTTTCAGTTAATATTTGAGTGCCTGCCAGATGCTTGGCACTATTGTGGGAGGGATCACTGGGAATTGAGAGATAAAAGGCAGTCTCTCCATGACTAATCTAGTGAGGGATAGTCAAGTAAAGAAACAGTCTGAAGGTTGGTGATGAAAGTGATACAGGAAGGCTATGGTGTCCTGGGACTAGAGAAGACTAGCATCTAACTAGTTGGGGAAAGTAAAAGTCATGAGTGTTTGGTTGAATTTAGCTACATTAGGGAAATTAGAAAAGGGTGTTTGGTGTTGGCCCAGAATACTCTACTCCCCCTAATATCACCTGCAGGACAATGCTCACAGCTTGTCAGCTTTCCAGAACAGCTGTGAGCTTTATGTTTCATGTTCACAAGCTTACTAATGGACTGACCATAGCAGGAACTTACCATACTTTGTTTTCTCGTGTCACTCTTCAGTTGCCAGGCTTGAATGCCTACGAAGGCTACTGTAGTAACCAGCTGGCAGCCAAAGCTCTTCTTGACCAAAAGAAACAGGATCCAGGAGTCCAGGACTTTCTCCAGCGATGTCTTGAGTCTCCCTTCAGCAGAAAACTAGATCTGTGGAGCTTCCTCGATAATCCCCGATGTCGCCTAGTCAAATACCCTTTACTGTTAAAAGAAATTCTTAGACATACTCCAGAGGACCACCCTGATGTTCAGCTTTTGCAGGAAGCTGTAAGTACTCCAACTAATGATTCTTGTGTTTTTCAAATTTGTACATTAGCTTGTCTTAGAAAGTTATGCAATGCTACTCCCAATTATGCATAGTGACTCAGCATCGGGAGGTGTTTGGTGGATGTTTTAAGCACCCCATATGCTCGTGCACCACACACTGAGTAATAAAGAGGCAGGACACAATCTGTATTTATATTCTAATCAAAAGACTGGATTCTGGTCTTACCACTTCCACTAGCTAACTGGAGAACTTTGGGCAAATTACCTATTTAGGCTGAAACTGTTTCTTCATCTGTAAAATGAAGGGACTGACTGAATTAACTAATTTCAAGAGTCCCTTCAAGCTTTAAAATTCTATCATTTTGATGTGGTGTTTTAGCCCTGTAGGGACACTGACTACATTACTCTGAAAAGACTCCATCAGTTTTTTGATAATTTTTAGATATTGATAATACAAGGAGTTCTCTCCGAAATCAACTTGAAGAAAGGAGAGTCAGAATGTCAGTATTACATCGACAAACTGGAGTATCTGAATGAAAGGCAGAAGGATCCTCGAATTGAAGCGAGCAAAGTATTGCTTTGCCACGGGGAGCTGAAGAATAAAAATGGACGTGTAAGTGTATCTTAGAACTAATAGGAAATGAGCCATTGCTTCCCTTTCCCACCCAGTTTGTTTCCAAATAGATTATGAAGCAGGTTGTAAAATGGACTCATCAAATAGTGAAAGGTTACTGGTTTTTGTTTTTTGTTACCAGCTTTCATAACGCACACATTTGGTTTCTGTCTTTACAGAATAACTTAAACGTCTCTGGA